TGTTTTCACCCTGATGTCATTGGCTTTATTGCATTGTACTATGTTTTTACCCTGATCTCACAGGGCTTTACTGTGCTGTACTGTTTTAACCCCGATTTAACTGACTGTACTGCTATGTACTGTGTTTTTACCCTAAACTCACAGTGGCTCTACTGTGTTTTCGTTTCTAAACTAAACCACCGTAATGGAAGTCGGACATGCCTGATTTGCAGGATATGTTTTTCTAATAAATATGTCAGTTTTGTCTTTTAAAATTCCCTTCATATCCTGACAGGCCCAGGCAATTTCTCAGACGAGAAGAAGATGCTCCTTGAAAACAACACCGCAATATTCACGTAATCCTGCACCTCAAATCCCAGGGATTTTACAGCAAACAGACCAGTACAGAACACTAGAGACACCCTGATATCCACTTTATCCCGCATCCCAAAACTCAGGGATTTTATAGCTCCTAGACAGACCAGTACAGAACACTAGAGATCCCCCGATATTCAGTTTATCGATAAAAAAAAACACTAAACGAGATCCCAACATTTTCTATAGCGGGTGGGTGTTCCTTATCCAGTTATTGAACAAGATGCCCCAATAAATAACTAAACAATACCGAATCAGCCTAAACTAGCCGTTTTCAGTCCTGTTACAGTATATCAGCACCATAACCGGACAGTATCAGTGCAGCTTTCTAGTAAAATAATCCCATTGCTACATCACACAAGTCTTTCCCACTTCACTCTGCATCTCTCCACTATATTCTGACCAGTGAGAACGTTAAAGACACTGTTTTAAAACACACAGACACTGACTTCATATAAGTCACAGCACTGACCTGACAGCTCCAGTTTCATGTCCATTTCTTCTTTCATTTATTTCTTTTATTTTTTTAGTTAATGTGAGTTTGACACGAGGCTGAAGATGGCTACTTATTCGTGTTTTTCCTTCCACCTTAAATGCTGCTGCAGTGACGTTATATCGCCTTTCACCTGTAATTGACTCTCTTTGGTCAGTACTAATCCAGAAGGAATACTGTAGATATCCTCAGTGAAAGGGAATATCCAAATACATAGCGACTGTCCTAGTTGTATTTGTGCATGGAATATATTTCAGAAAATCGCAAACCAATTTTAAAAACTCACAATAACATGAACTTACACTGGGAAAAGGTGACTGCACTTTCTACTTATTACTAGGGCCCTCCCACCTGATTATAAAATTGTCTCACAATTCTAAAACTCAGGTGTGAGAGACAATGGAGCAGACTATCAAAATCCTGGACTTCAGGAATTTTTACTGTAAATGACCCACTGAACATGGCATGCAAGAATACATTGGCAAATGGTGATTGCACTTTCTGCTGATTTGCCGTGCCCTTCACTCCTGATTATAAAAACGTCTCAAACTTCTGACACTGAGGTGTGAGATACAATGTGACAGACTGTCAAAACCTTGAAGTACAAGAACTTTTACTGTACCGTTTTTTTAAATATGACCCTCTGAACATGGCATGAGAGAATACATTCGCAAATGGTGATGGTGCTTTCTGCTGTATTGCTGTGGCCCTCCCTCCTGATTATAAAAACGTCTCAAACTTCTGACACTGAGGTGTGAGACACAATGTAACCGACAATGAAAATTTACTGTACCATTTTTTAAATATGACCTTGTGAACATGGAATGTGAGGATTTACAGTCTACAAAACAGCGCAACTTCTGCTGATTTGCTTTGTCCCTCCTTCCTCATTACTAAAACATCTTAATATTGTGACACTAAGGTAAGAGAGAAATAAATTACTCATCATGTACATTTATAATAACTACATTTCACTGTTGCATTTCTGCATTGTGACATTCTGAACATGGCATGTTAAAAAATATAGGAAACCTAGATCAGGACAGGCTAACTGCAATTCATAGTGATTTGTCATTGTCTTACTTTCTGAATGAAAAACGTATTTTTTCAGTGATTATGACACTCCATAATGACATAAATTATACTTTAATGTCAGAATAAATAATCACGGAAAAAATACTTACAGTGGACATTCATAGTTGTGATTATAGAAATGTTATATATCAGGTGGGTAGCTGCGTCAGCATGCATAGGCTTCAAAGGAACAATTAAAGGTTTATTCCATGTTGAAAAGAGAAGAAGGGAAACAACTTCTCGGCTGTGGAGCCTTCTTCAGGTCTAAGAACGATAGGGCAGTCAGCAAAGATAATCTTCGGTAAAGCGGTTGAGGTCGACTTGGGTTTGCGGGATGTCCAGCTTCTTGGGGACTAGTAAAAAACTGAGGCTTTTGCCGGGAACAGATTGCTCATCCTGCAAAAGCGAAAGTTCAGGGGTTATAGTAACAACAAGGTTAGGATTGGCAGTAGGGTTGCTGATGGTTTTTCTGAGTATAAGATCATTGAGTTTTTTATCCTTCTCTGATTTAACAGCAAACAGACCAGTACATAACACTAGAGACACCCTGATATTCACTTTATCCTGCATCTCAAAACTCAGGGATTTTATAGCTCCTAGACAGACCAGTACAGAACACTGTACTCTGAAGTGAGAAACTGGTAGAGCTGGGAGTTGAGGGACCTGATGAGATTAGTTATGAGGGAATTAACCAAAAATTTGCATTATATCTTTTAAACTATGTATCTTTTACTTATATTTTACTAAATCCGTCTCAGGATATCTGGTCTCAAAAGATAACATAAGCACATGATATCTTTACGCACAGCTGTTCTCAGGGAAATGACCGAGTGACCTCTCCTGGAACAAATGGTCTATTCAGCAGAAGGGGCTGCTTGTCACTCAAGCCAGCAGTAAAGAATATATATGTAATGGTCAGCTTTTTAGAATGACTGTATATAGCCACAATGCAAGTAGAGAATCATGTGGGAGTGTATCTTGTTTCATTTGTTTCACTGTATAAAAGAGCGCTGTAAGCATTTTCTTTGAAGTCTTGTGCCACACGACGCAAGACTTCCATATGCATATGAATAAAGACGACTTTCAACACACAAAGGCTCAGCAGATGCCGTTTTTTCTGGCACTACAATTATAAAAGGAATATGATGTGGAGCTCTTACCCATTACTTAACTTTTTTTAAGTTGCCATCAAAGATAAACTACAGTCAGCAAAGATAAAAAGATAATTATTTTTGCTGATTGCCCTATCTTTCTTAAACCTGAAGAAGGCTCCACAGCTTAAAGTTGTTTCCTTCCTTCTCTTTTCAACATAGAATAAACCTTTTCTTGTTCCTTTGCAGCCTACGCATGCTGACACAGCAAACATCTGATATATAACTTTCCTATAATCACAACTATGAATGTCCACTGTGGGCATTTTTCCATGATTATTTATTCTGGCATTGAAGCTTATTTTATGCCATACCAAAGTGTCATAATCACTGAAAAAATATGTTTTTCATTCAGAAAGTAAGACAATGACAAATCACTATGAATTGCAGTTAGCCTGTCCTGATCTAGGTTTCCTATATACTTTAACATGCCATGTTCAGAATGTCACAATGCAGAAATGCAACAGTGAGGTGTTGTAATTACAAATGTACATGATGAGTGATTTTCTCTCTCTTACCTTAGTGTTCCAATATTAAGATGTTTTAGCAATGAGGAAGGAGGGACAAAGCAAATCAGCAGAAGGTGCGCTATTTTGTTGACTATAAATCCTCACATTCCATGTTCACGGGCTCATATTTTAAAATTGGTACAGTAAATTTTATTGTACTTCAGGGTTTTGACTGTCTGTTACATTGTCTCTCACACCTCAGTGTCAGAATTGTGAGATGATTTTATAATCAGGAGGGAGGGCCATAGCAATACAGCAGAAAGTGCAATTAGCTTTTCCCAATGCATTCTCATAGGTCATGTTCAGAGGGTCATATTTAAAAAATGCTACAGTAAAAATTCCTGAAGTTAAGTATTTTTATAGTCTGCTATATTGTCTCTCATATCTCAGTGTCAGTATTTTGAGACATTTTTATAACCAGGGGGTAGGTTCATAGCAATAAGCATCATCCTTTTCTCATCCTCAGTTAACCATATATTCTCATATGCCATATTCTAAATGTCCCATTTAATGCTGCTATATTAAAATGTCTTGTAAAATACAATAATTTGAGACTTAAAATGATCAGAAGGCAAGGTCGTGGTAAATATACAGAAAGTGACAGTGAATTCACGTTTTGCTTTTGTCTTATTTACTCGTTGTCTAATATGCCAGTTTGTGTAGTTGTGAGTTTTGAAAATTGGTTTTAGATTTTCTGAAACGTGTTTCATACAAAAATGCAATTTGGACAGTCACTATTTGGTTACACATTCCACTTTTCTGAGGATATGTAATCCATCCGGATTAGTACATTTAAAACAGACTGTAGAAAGCCATCTACAGGCGAAAGGCGACATAACGTCATAGCAGCAGCATTTATGGTGGAATGAAAAACGCAAATAAGAAGCCAACTTCAGCCTCGGGAGTTTGACACCCTAATTTACAGCGCTTCTCTAATAAAAAACGCATGTGAGTTAAGTCATTTTAAGTTTGAACGAGGTGTTTTCGCCCCTGTTACTGTATCGCAGCTGTTTTCTGCACCGAAACCAGACAACAAAGGAGAGGAAGTTACAGACACACGGATTGAAAACACACGGATATTGCAAAACAAAAAAATTTGCAATGGTCGATTATTTATGGCATTTATTTCTAAACTAAACCATCGTACCGACAGTTTGACACGCCTGATTTTAGGACGTGTTTCCTAAAGTCATTGTATTTATGAAGATGTTTTCAGTCCTATTACTGTAATTGCAGGTGTTTTAAGCGCCATAACCGGACAACAACAGTTCAGTTTCCAGTAAAGAATCGCGTTGCAACATCACACAAGTCTTTCCCACTTCACTCTGCATCTCTCCACCAGATTATCACCATTGAGGAAGTTAAAGACACTGGTTTTAAACACACAGACACTAACTTCATACAAGTCACCACACTGACCTGACAGCTCCAGTTTCGTGACCATTTCTTCTTTTATTTCTGCAGTAATATCACAAGAAAGCCTCTGGGTACCCTGAATTGTCTGTCCCTGATCTTCTCCTGCTCCCGACTCCTTCTCCCACAGCTGCAATCTCCACTTCAGGCTCTCGTTTTCCTTCTTCAGCTGCGACATTTCACTCCCGACACTGTCCTCCACACACTGTGTGATGTTAAACACGGCCCGTCTCACCAGAATCTGGGAGATGCTGCGAAGTTTGTCTTGAAACGCATCCTCGCAGTCCAACATCCTGTTTCGGAAAACATCGGAAACTTCACACACGATCGATTTCAGCAAAACCTCCATGAAAGAGTGAAGCTCGGTTTGCAGATTTAACAGGAAATTAGCCATTTTCTTACTAATTTATTGACAAAAAAGACGAGCTGAGGAGGTTTAATCTTTATTTTGATCTAAAACAGCGGAATCAATATCTGCCACGAGGTGAAATGCCTACACAGTCGCGTAATACGATGACGTCATTTCTTGGCGCTGCTTCAGCTTCAAAACAAGCGAGGAGCGGAGCTGAGAAAGAAAAGAGGAGTTTCTTCAACCAAAAATAAACCTCACTGCACCTATTAGCACCACCTAGTCAGGAAAAGTGAACCGCCTGCGAGTTCCGCTGTTCGTGGGTATGAATTCCATGTAATAATAAGTGTATTTCCCGTGTTTGTGTTTTTTTTTTTAACTGTGTGCTTGTTAGCATTATTCTCGATGCAGTGGGGTTTTATGTACGTTGTATGTTCAAAATACGTTTTAATTAAAATACACAAGAGTTTCAGCTGTGCTCATCAGCTGATCCCTTAACTCCTTTGATAGAAAATAAGCACAGCAAAACCCACCAATACAATTTTGTAAATAATAATAATATTGTAACGAATTCGGGTTTCGGTGCGAGCAGGCATGGGACTCAGGGAATATGGTTGAACACATTTATTAACTTGAACTTGAACCGGGAAAGGTACACACACAAGGACAGGGGTTACAGAGCTGCACCTTCGCTAACACAGACACGAAGGGAAGGGGCTGTCTCCTAGCCTCCGCCCTACTATATAGCCCCCATGCTAAACCGCTACAATACTTATAATAATAATTGCTTACACTTATATAGCGCTTTTCCGGACACTCCACTCAAAGTGCTTTACAGGTAATGTACAGCATCTACCTGGATGATGCGAGTGCAGCCATAATTCGCCAGAACGCTCACCACACATCAGCTATCAGTGGAGAGGAGAGCAGAGTAATGAAGCCAATTCATAGATGGGGATTATTAGGAGGCCATGACTGGTAAGGGCCAATGGGAAATTTGGCCAGGACTCCAGGGTTACACCCCTACTCTTTTCGAGAAACGCCCTGGGATTTTTAATGACTGCAGAGAGTCAGGACTTCGGTTTTACATCTTATCTGAAGGACGGCACTATACTGGGGCATTAAGACACCTACAGACCGCAGGGTGAACACCCCCTGCTGGCTCCACTAACACCTCTTCTAGCAGCAAGCTTAGTGTTTCCCAGGAGGTCTCCTGTCCAGGTACTGACCAGGCTCACACCTGCTTAGCTTCAGTGGGTTTCCAGTTCTGAGTTGCAGAGTGATATTGCTTCTGGCAATATAAGTTACAATAATCAAATCAAATAAAAATCAAATTAATGTTTATTTATCAAATGCACAACAATACAGCGTGCAGCAGTAGTTGCTGGCAATGAAATGACTTTTCTACAAGCTCACCGGGTCAGTGGGGGGGGTTAAAAATCACAAAATTTACAAAAGTTAAAAAAGGTTACATAATAATACATAATAGTACGATAGAAATTGAATAAAATAAACTCAATACTCAATATAAATAGAGCTTCTATGTGTCCATGGTGTATGCAATATATTATGTCCTAGTAGTGCAGTATGATGAATACACTGAAAATTGTGTCACTGTAGCCATTATAGGTGATTTGCTAAAGGAGCTGCAGGTTGACTATTTAGCAGTCTTATTGCCTGGAGTTAGAAGCTGTTCCATAATCTGTTGGACTTTGACCGAATGCTTCAGTACCGTTTACCAGACTGTAGGAGGGAAAACAGTTTGTGACTGGGATGACTGGGGTCCTTGAGAATGGATCTGGACTTCTTAAGACATCTAGCTGAGTAGATGTCCTGGATGTTTGGTAGCTCACAGCTGGTAATAAGCTGTGCTGATTTCACCACCCTCTGTAGTACTTTGCGATCCCGGGCGGAGCAGTTCCCATACCAGGCAGTGATGCAACCAGTCAGGATGCTCTCAATAGTCCACCTGTAGAAGTTGGCCTGGATATGTGATGGCATGCCAAATGTCTTTAGCCTGCAGAGAAAGAATAGGCGCTGCCGTGCTGTTTTGACCATGATGTTGGTGTGGTGGGTCCAGGTAAAGTCCTCCATGATGTTAACTCCCAGGAACTTAAAACTGCTGACCCTCTCCACTGCAGTCCCATTGATATAGATAGTTGTGTGATCTCCTCCCTGGTGTTTCCTATAGTCCACAATCATCTCCTTAGTCTTACTGATGTTCAGACTCTGTAAACAGACTCTTCACCATCTGTGATCAGGCCAATGACTGTTGTATCGTCCACAAACTTAATGATGGAGTTTGAGTTATGCCTGGTGACACAATCATGGGTAAATAAGGAGTAAAGGACAGGGTAAAGCACACAGCCTTGGGGGGTTCCAGTGTTTAGAGTCAGTGTTAATAATACACATAATTATAATTATAATATGTATTTATAATATGCATAACACTGAATGCAGTATCATAAAGTATCATAGTATCTTTCTACAGATGGGGAATCCATTAAGTCATTTTGTTCCTTTTTGAAAATGAAGCAGCTAAACAAAGTAAGACATACATTTGATAACTTGTATAAGACCTTCCAGTAAACTTGCCTCTTCAGGTGAGCTGCCATTCCATTCTAGCTGATGTAGCAGTTTTTTGGCATCTTTAAACTTTAATGTTTCCTGGCAGCTATCTTAGTTTCTCCAGCTGGAAGAAACAAAAGACTCTAGCATAAAAAAATAAACTCCAAAGGTGAGGGAACACGGAAGTGATTTGGGGAAAAAAGGGAAGGTAAACACCACTCAGAATTTACACTTTACCTCTCTAGCCTAGTAAGTTTTGTATATATCTATCTCTGTAACCTGTAGATTACAGATGTAAGAACAAGTGGCTTCTGATGTCAAAATGTGTGATAAATAGGTGAAGATATTTCAGTTTGAGTCTTCCAGAGAATGTATCCTGAGCCTTAATTTCAGAAAGAGTATGATCTGTGTCACACATATACATGGTCCCTTAGATCATTTCAAAATCACCCAGAGAAGATAATGTGTGCCAGGTAATCTCATTTGGAGAAAATGTCCTGCCATTTACATTTGTGAGACAGGATGAAGACGGCCAGACTGCTTCAGAGTTCATGTCAGAGCAGTGAGAATCACAGATCTGTCTAATCGACAGTTCCCCATCTCAGTTCCTCTTCCTGTATGATCATACCAACTTTCTTCTGTTTCAGAGGAAACATCAGAACTGTGAGGATCACACATCTGTCTAAGATGACAGTTCACCTCTCCTGGCCCTCACTATTCTCCAGTCACACTGATTTCTGTCTTGGAATCAGACAGACAATCACAATGAGCTTATTAATGTATACTGTCCAGGTCGCCCACTTAGCTCACAGAATGCAGGTCTTCTTCATATTCCACACATTAATAAAATAACAGTTGGCGGTAAAGCCTTGGTTACAGGGCCCCTAGCTTATGGAACAGTCTCCCACCCCATGCTCAGGATGCCGAGTCAATCTCAGTATTTAAATCCAGACTGAAAACCTATTATGTCAGCCTAGCCTACTCACAGCTTACATTGTAGCCTGCTGCAACCATGGCTGCTGGTGCTGCTGTACATGCCATTGTGTGTCTCTATGTTGGTCCACCAGGTAGAAACATCTGTTCTGACCAAACTATCCTATTCTCTTCGCCACATGTCCGGATGGCACCTGGGCTGGACACCACCTGACTTGGATGCTGCAATACTGCCATGGATTCAAGAGGGATATTGTGGATATAGCTATCGTTTAGGAGGATTTTGCTGGTCTACAGAGATCTGCATGGATTACTGACATACAGAAGACTTGATGGATGGATTAATACCCTTATTCATTTATTCATTTTTTAATTTTATAATATTAGCATGCCCAAAGGGGTTGGGCAGCCAGTTGACCTTGGACCCCCTGGAGGTTTTTTTTTCTCTGTACTAAGGAGTTTTTGGTTCCTCTCCTCCATTGACTTCTGGTCTTTTCTGTTCTGTATTACAACATGTATGGTCACTTTCTTTGTTACGTGCCTTGGGGCAACTTTGTTGTGCAAGGTGCTATATAAAAATAAATTGAATTTAATTAACCATCCACTGTGCAGAAACTCACAGTCCTTGTGAAAATGACAGTCTTTCTCTAAATAAGGGGACAGCTTATACCAAAACGTCTGCTCACTTGTTCTGTGGGACAGAGGCACCACAGAGATTTACTAAGAGTGGCAATAAGGAATCGGATTTCTCACCCCAGCTTCTCTTACCTCTAGACTATGAGGATCATTCTGTTAGAATGTCCAGCTACAAAAGAGGGATTTCAATTATACTGTGACACTGAGAAGACAGAGTATAGGACCCACAGAGACCAAGAGAAGGGCTTGAGTTGGAAAGAGCAGATCAATGGAGAGGATGGCAAAACTACATTAATGAGCTCAATCATTCTCAGTGAAAGAGCAGCTCACCAAGGGGGATGTGATGGAGGTGGGTAATGAGAGTAAAAAGCTCCTCTCTCAATGTAGGTGAAGACGACCATGAGAGAACCTTCTTGCCAGTTAACCCTAGGGTTAACCAGAGCTGCTGCTGTTACTGATGACTCTTCATCTTCAGACACTGATAACACAGAGACTGAGGGTCAGAAAGACAGGATGACATCCACTGCTAATTGCTATACAGCATAAACCACAATTACAAAAAATGAGACAAAACCTCTTTAGAAGCCCTTTACACAGAGAATTCTTAACACATTCTCAATGTAAAGAGAGAAGTACAACATAATGTGTACACGGCTGAATTAGGCCAATACCCACTGCTAATGGCCAGCAGCCATATCACTCTGCAACTCACAAATGGCAACACACTGAAGCTAAGCAGGTGTGAGCCCTTGTCAGTATCTGGACAGGAGACCTCCTGGGAAAAACTTAAGGTTGCTGAGGAAAGAGGTGTTAGTGGAGCCAGCAGGGGGCGCTCACCCTGCGGTCCATGTGGGTCCTAATGCGCCAGTATAGTGACGGGGACATTATACTTTAAACAGGCGCCATCCTTCGGATAATATGTAAAACCAAGGTTGTGACTCTCTTTGGTCATTAAAAATCCCAGGGCGTTTCTCGAAAAGAGTAGGGGTGTAACCCTGGAGTCCTGGCCGAAT